TGGTGGTACTTTACTTGGAAATATAAAGCAGTCTTCTTAAAAGTTCAGAATTTTGTGTCAGGCTTTAAATGTCACAAAGAATCCCAAGCAGCACATCATTATTTAGGTCTACTTGTTATCTAGGTACAACATGGTACCACAAATAGAAAATACTTTAAAGAAACAGTTAGCTAAGAAACTGAAAAAAGCTAAGAGTAAAGGTACTTACCCTCTAAACTGTCTTCCATAAGAGCTACTATTAAAGCAGCCTTCTGAAAACAGACTCTAAATATCCTAAGTAAAAGGAGGAAGCACCTCTGCCCCTAGAGAAAACGAAGTTTTAGAAATGAATGTGGATATATAGTAGTAACTCTTTTTGATCTCCTATTAACTTGTTTTGAAGTCCTGTAATACTCCCAAGATCTTGTTTTGACTGATTAGACTCTGTTCCATTCTGTGCGATAGTATCAAGTTTGAGGGTATAGGCAACTAATTTGAAGGCAATAAGATTCACAAAGATGCCCATTCTGGTTTGACTATTGTCTCCTTTGGAAGTCCTGTAATGTTCACAATGCCTAAGTTTTATTGGTCTTGTTCTCCACTGTTTTGTCCGGCTTTATAATATCTAATGAGATGGACAATTCCTTTTAAGGAAACAAGAGACAATGTTGATAACCATTGTTGATGACCTTGTACTCTGTTCTACATCATGTGCTATGTCTATCCTTGGTTTGGACTTACAGCTTTGTTTTGCCATATTTGACTTTATTCTCTCCCCCCCAAGACAGTAATGAGAACTGAGGAGTAATAAAATCCAAAATGTATAAATTTTGTTATAAAAAAGAGAGGGAGGGGAAAAAAAAAAGAGCTCTAACGGATATAACAACAAGTGTGTTTAGGGATGTTAAATAGCTGACTATATTAATGTTTTTGGATCATTGAACACAGCTGTTTGCAGTCTCTCCGTTTGAATGTCTACTTTGTATTCTTTGATACTGTGATTTGAGCAACTATTTCCAAGATGATATTATGTAATCTATTAACAGGTGATTTCTTACTGTTATGTTTTTTTTTTGTAGTTATGTATTATGTGTAACCTTACACTGCTTTGTTTTGTTTTGTGTTTTTCTCTTTTTCCTCTTAAATAAAAAAAAAAAAAAAAAAAAAAAAAAAAAAAAATGAATGTGGATCCTATTTGCATGAGTTTAAAATCCACTTTTAGAGAATACAGGCCAGGAATATTTATGAAGACTTACTGATACTGGGACTTTAATACCTTATTTTGAAAATGACACTCTTGTCCTTCAGATCAGTTTGATCTCAGTTTTGTTTTTTGTAAGGTTCATGAATTTTTTTCCCTGGATTTCCTTGGAGCTTTGAGGGACTGCAGGTGCCTACAGGACTCACAGGCGCACCTGAGAATGCCATGCATGTGCACCTGCTGGTCAAGGGGACACAAACATATCTGCAGTGGCTTTAACTTCCTCAGTGAATAATTCCCAGCAGTTTAAGGAAGGGGAGCACGTGGTAGAAGAGGACACACAGAGGTACATGGTGATTGTAAGGAAATCTGTGAGAGGGAGATCAAGAATGCTTTAGTCACTGTCCACGGACCTCCTACTGGAGTGAGAGAGAATCAAACAGACTGAGAAGCAAGCAACCATCACCCTGGTTCTGGTAGCTCGCCAGGTCTCTCTCGCTTACCTCTGATCTTACTTTGAAACTATGTGGGGTGTGCTACAACAGTGTTTCTCTCATAGCAATCTCTACACAATAGAGATGCTTTCTTACTAGAGGACACATTTGGTTGGAAGCACTCTACAGAACTTATACTGCTGAGAACCTCACGCTGCAATTCAGAAAGGTTATGTGGCCTAAACTAAGGTCACACATATGGCAGTAGTGTCTAGACTGGGGCAGGAGTCAGTCAGAATTGCTTAAGATAAATATGTCTAACTTTGTCCTTATCAATACGTTTTATTGTAAGTTTGTTCTGGTGGTGCTAAGGATCAAACGCAGGACCTCACACAAGTTAGACAAGTGTTCTATCAACCAGCTCATCATCAGTGCTTATTAGTATTTTTAATATAACAAGGTTCCCTATCAATCAGGATGATGGTTTTATCATTACATCTTTCCTTAAAATCAGGCTATTCAGGAACATGACTGAGTATATATTGTTTGAAGATCATTTATCAATTGCCTGTTTATCAGAATCTAAAATGAATCTGTCTCTGATACATATATAAGTACAAATTTTAAGTAACATTATCTATATGTATAGCATACCGCTTGAAATGTAATAAACTATAGACATAAGTAGCCCATAATTAGAGATGGTAAATAAAGAATGCACTGCATAGCATGATGGCACACACCTGTAATCCCAGCACTTTGGGAAGCTGAGGCAGGAGGATCACAAGTTTGAACTCAGACTGAGCAATTCAACAACTTAAAAGACTATGTCTCACAATTTTAAAACTTAGAGGGGAGAGGGATGTCTGGAGATGTAGTTCAATGTAAAAATCCTCAGTATTGCAATAACGAAAAAAAGACAACTGCAAAAACACAAAATTTACATGGAAACTTCAGGTATTCTTTCCCCTTTTTATTTGTCATTTGTTTATTTACTAATAAATATATGTTTACACATAATAAACACATCATGAGCAACTGGTACATATACCTAGCGCATCTTACTTCAGCTATTCTCAGTTACAAAGAATGATTTATTTCAAAGAATGAGAAAACTGAATTACCACTGTCTATACCTGCTATTTGCCGAACATCTGTGCCCATAAAATCTTTTCTTTAATATTTATAAGAACTAAGTGAGAGAAACATACATACCAACTAAGGTTTAAAAAAAAATAACTTGCAGTATAAGGAGCTACAAATAGTACTCTCTATGGTGAGAAATAAAGTCCACGAGTAAGTATCCTAGCAAAATTATCACCACACACACACATGCCTAACAGATGGACTCTAAAAAACAGCTAAGCATTCCACAAACCAAATGCTCAAAATTTAACAATAAAAGATGATTAACATTCCTGTAGGTTATATTGCATAAATGTGAACAGCAGCAATAATGTGGGACAGAAGACCTCTCCATGCCCTCACACTGTCTCAACTCAATCACACATCTTCTACCACCCCCTACTATGCAACCAAATCACAACCACCCTAAACTGAGGTGTCCACTGCAGCCCCAAACACTTGACTGGTAATACCGGTTTGCCATTCCAGGAAATCCCAGAGTGATTTTTTTTAAGCCTCTGCCCACAGCTTGTCAAGAAACGCAAGAGAAGAACGAACGGTAATACCAGCAACCCAGCTGTGATCTGGCACAAAAAGAAACCAAGAAAATAAATCCCATCCATAATCTGTATAATTTAACACTTGGAAGAAGGCAACACTTGACTCCAGCAGGGCAGCAGGTTCTCTCTGGGTAGAGCTGTACTGGGTGTAGAGACCAGTCAGGAAGAGATGCCTTCGTCCTCACTAGCTGAGCAGAGGTAGTTTTTTCCTAGCAAGGGTTAAAGCAGCCCCCAAAACAGAAGAATAAGAAGCACTCTTTCCCAGTAGCCCGCAGAGCAAAGGCTTCCCTTGACACTTTGAAGAGATAGAAAGCTGGAAATCCTTCTAAAAGGTGGGTCAGGACAGACTATTGTCTCACTAACCAGTCACAGTCCAGAACGGAAGCTAATGTCAAACATGGGAATGACTCTGTTTAATCCTACAGTCCTTTTGGTGGACTCCAAAGTCCTAGTCTGCGAAGTTGAAAAAAAAAAATCCCTTGTGACTACGACCACCTGAAAAGGCTTTCCTAATTTCTTTAAATCGCAAGAAAACGAACCGAGAACATAAGCAGCTATCTCCACATCATCTAAATTACTAGCTCTGTCCCCAGTAAAAACAAGTGCGCCAGTCGGCAGGACAGGGCATTATAGAAAATAAAGATTGTTAGTAGAATCCGTAATGCTTTCTGTTAGACCTTCTGGGAGGTTATAATTGCATCTGGCAGCTTCAGGCTCGTCAGAGAGCCTGGCTTCTTAACAATCTCAACCCTAAAAAGGAGTAACTGTCAAGGGGCAACCCAGCTGAAATCAAACAACAAAAACGGGAACTGTAATCCGCCAGAAAAGGGAGGAGGGAAAGGAAGGGAGACTCTTGTATTCATCACTCAACATTAATGTCCTTTGTTGTTCACCTTTGCACAGAATAGCGAACGCTATCCTGTTCCTTTTTCTCCAAACACAGAGTCGGGGTGGTGTGTTCCCAGAAGCTGCCTCCTGGCTGAAGACTCAAGCTTCCCGGCCCCTCTTCCATCAGACTCGCTTGGCCGTCCTGCACCTCCGCCCCCAAGGCATTCACCCCGGTCGCGAGGGTGGCCAGAAGTAAAAACACTGCTGAAATATCGGTTCCCCTCCAAAGACCAAAGAGCAAAGCAGCGCAGATGTTGAAATGCACCGAACCCCTGCCCCATCCCCCGCACACCCCCAGACACCCGCGAAGCAAGGGAGGACAACGGCTGGAGCCCGGCTCGCCCGTCTGAAGGGCTCGGATGGAGCTGAGCCACATTCTGCACTCTGAGAAAGACGACCCCGGCCGGCCAGCGGGATTCTGCGCCCTCAAAGGTTTGGGGCTGTCGTCGCTGGCTCACAGGTCTCCCTCACCACCCCAAGGGAATCATCACAGCCCACTGCCATCTCCCTGCAGCTCTGGACAAGCAGGGGATGGAGGGAAAGAAGCCCCACTCGTCTCCCCTTCCAACTTGACACCGCACTCGCCGCCGCCGCCGCCGCCGCCGCCGCTCCAAACTCCGCCAGCAGAGCCTAGCGGGCCGGGGCCCGGGCGCGCCAAGGGGCGGCGAGGAACGAGCCGCGCACAGCCCAGACCCGCCCGGGGCCGGTCGGGCGCAGCCCCCGACCCGCCGCGCCTTCCCAGCAGCGCAGCAAGAGGGGCGCTGGGGCCGGGACAGAGACGCGCGGATAAAAGTTCTCCCCGCCCAGACTCACCCACGCCGTATTTCTCGTGCTCCGTAGGTATCCACATGGCGGACAGGGGCGCCGGGGTCTCCAGGCTTTGTAGAGCCCGCGCCCCTCCACAGGCTCACAACAATGCGCGGCTCCCGAAGAGCGGCTGCGGCGCCCGAGCCCGGCGGCTCCGCACGGGTGGCGGGCGCTCGACGAGGTCCGCGCTGGAAGCTCGCGAGCCCGGCGGTGACACCGCGCCACCGAGCCTGCGCCGCCCGCAGCTTCCCCGGCGGCGGCTGCTCACTGTCCTCCGACGCGTTCCCGGGGACCCGGCGGCGCAGTCATTGTTCTGATTCACTGAACTAAGCGAACACGCCGGGGCACTCTCGGGCGCACCCCCGCCCGTCAGCGCCTCTTCCAGCGCGGCCAGCCCACAGTGCCCGCGGCACGCTGGGAATCGTAGTTCTCCACTTCTCCATTCAGGAAGGGCGTTTAGAGGGAGTGGCAAGAGGCGGGGTCAGACTGAGTTTGCTGCGTCCTATTGGCCCAGAGCGTGACGTCATGAGGTAGGCGTGGAAGAACGTCCCTATTGGGGTGGAGCTCTCCCCCAGTTACGTTTTTATTGGTTCGAACCCGCGCCTGTCCCGCCCCCGCCCCGCGGCCCTCCCTTTTCTCCTCGACGAAGTTATGGCGGCTTCCAAGACTCAGGGGGTTGCTGCCGGAATGGAGGGAGAAAGTGGCAGAAGCCGTAGCGGGGTGGAGGGTGTTGCTTATGAAGGTAAGTATGGGGCAGCAGAGGTGTGGGTCATTAGACTTCCTTTCCCCGTGGTCCGAGTGCACTCACCGCCGGTCTGACTCTAGAGCCCTTGGCTCTGAGGCCACCTAGGCGCGCCGGGGTGGCGGGCGGGACGAGGCCGGCTGTCCCGGGAGGCGGAGAGTGGATGGGGCGGCCTTGCCCGCCCCCTGGCAGCTCCTGGGCATTTGTCTTTCTCTTTGAGCGTGCCGCTTTGCGTTTGGTGTGGTAATAACTGGGCTTACCGTGTCTTTTTTATTATGTTTTCTCCTCTCCCTCCCCGTGCCTCCGCCTCGGTTTCTTGGGTTTGGTCTCAGACATGTGTTTTGTGTGGTTTGGGGCGGATTTGCAGTCGCAGATTGGGCACACTGTTATTTGCCATTTACTGGATGGAAAGATCTCCAGTGAAAAAGTGTGTGTGCGTCTCGCAACCGCCGCGTGGCGGGTTGACTACCCTGTGAGTCTCCAGAACTGAATGTGGAATCTGGGCGATCTTAGGCCTTGGGTTCTAGGTAGAGAAAGTGGTAATTTGTACTCGTTCAGAGAACATTTAAGGGAGTTAGGAAAGCCATCTCCGTCCGCTACGCTGTCTTTTTGTGATTTTCGTGTTGTCCACTAATCCATGGTAGGGCTCAAAATCAACCTTTAAAAGCTGTAGGTAAGTTTCCTGGGGGACTGCTTTTTAAGTCTTTTCCAGCCCCACCACTTTTTTTGCCATGATGTGTAATTTAGTACAGCGTGTTCTCTTTCTCTTCTGGATATGTTTTGCGGTTTAAATTTGATTTTCAGTCTTGAGTCGTTTTCCCTTGTTTGCTCCGAGTTAAGTTAACATTTGGTCCAAAGCTTTTATCTCAGCACAGACGTTAAGTGTAGTTTCAGTAGAACACCCCACCCAGAAATTACTTTCAGTACCCCTACCTAAAGAAAGCTTTCGTAGACTTCTGAGTTAAATACTGAGTTATAGCTATTTTCGACACCATTTATCATTGGTTTGACCGTATACTCACCTCTTATCTGATGGTAACAGACTACTAAGGTTCCTTTTCCAAAGGGTTACCTGTTTTAAGAGCTAAAGATGAGCCCTGCTGAATATTTCTCACAGTTTAACTAACTCAAACACTCTTGGCTATATCTTTCAAATTCATAAAACATTTAAAACCTTTAGTTACCTTAAAGCATAAAAATTTTTATTGTAAACATTAATTAATCCGTAAATGTATAAAGTAAAATTAATCCATAAGGCATAAAATAAAAAATAAATTTCTCCACCACATTGTTTCACTCCAAAATTATAAGTGTTAACATTTTAGTGCTATTTTTTTCTGACATAATCCTGTATGATACATATCTGTATGGTTTGGTTTGGTTTGGTTTTTTTAAATAAGAAAAGGATAATTCTAGTAAACTCAAAGGTCAATAGATTTTTTTTCTGTCTCTAATTGATCTGTAATGGACATTCTTCCATACCAGTACATTTGTTGTTTCACTTAAGGACTGCATTCATCATGTTCTGTTGTATATGGACATTCTATACTTTAACAATTACCCTATTAACAAATATGTAGTGTGATTTTCCTTTTTCAATGGAATCGCAATGAATAGTTTTACATACATATACCTCTGGCTCCCAGGTGTGCATTCCTTGAGAAATTGCTAAATCAAAAGTTCTGCACGCGTAAAATCTTAGTAAATCCATATTTCCCTCTTTAAAGAAATGCAGCATACTGGGGCTGGGGATTTAGCTCAGCGGCATAAGCGCCTGCCTTGCAAGCAGGCAGTCGTGAGTTCGATCCCTGGTACCAATAAAAACGAAAAAGACAAAAAAAAAAAAAAAAAAAAAAAAGAAATGCAGCATACATTTCCACCTCTGAAATATGAGCATTCTTTTCCTCAAATCTCCAACTATAAGAAAATTATTAACCCAGGGCCAGTGTTTATATGGCTACTGGATTGAATTAAGTAATTAAAAGCATAATTTTTAGTACCAGTTTGTTTTGAGCAAAAATAATAAGCAGCAGTTAATTTATATCATTCTTATAAGGAAAAGTGTCAGTAAATATTTCCTTTAAACCAGGCATATAATCCCAGTACTCTGGGAGACAGAATCAAGATGATTGCAAGTTCAGCCTTAGCCTGGGCAATTTAGCAACACTTTGTCTCAAAAAAATTTTTCAGGATGAAGGACCTCTACTTAATCCTCAGTACTGCTGCAAAAAACAAAAAAAAGAAAAAAAGAATTAATAATACCTGTATCATTTTTACTTTGTCAGAATTATTTGCAAAGCCAGCAAAGTACTAAGCAAATTTCAGGTGGAAATAGTTTATATTCATATTTTTATTTGTCAGACAGCAAAAATCATACACTGTCATGGTTAGACTTACGTCAACTTGATTGGCTTGGGAACTGTGTAGGATATTAAAACATGATGCTGAATGTGTCAGGATGGGTTGTGGAGGTATAAGTTTGTGTATAAGTTTATATCCCTCATCCCTTCCTCTCAGGCAGTATTGCCCTGCTCTGCTTTCTAGCCACCATAAACTAAGCATATTTGTGCCACCATTCCCTTCCACCATGGTGTTTCTGCTTTGGAGCCATCCTGCCCTGGACTGAATCACTTGAAACTATGAGCCATTGAACCTCTCCTCCTTAAGTTGTGATATGAAGATAGAAAATTGATACTAGAGAAATGTGTTTATACTTGACCACATAGATTAGAAACCTTTCAAATTGATTTGCATGAGTTTGGAAGTTTGGAGAATTGGAAAAGCTAACTAATACATATGCAGTACCATTTTAATTTCTTGAAAATCTGCCTTTTTATTTTTCCATTATTAGGGATTGAACCCAGGACCTCACGTTAGGCCACTGTTCTGCCACTGAACTACATCCTTGGCCCTTTTTTTTTTAACTTTTTATCGGTACCCGGGATCGAACTCACGACCGCCTGCTTGCAAGGCAGGTGTTTATGCCGCTGAGCTAAATCTCCAGCCCCATCCTTGGCCCTTTTTAATGTTTTATTTTAACATAGGGTCTCACTAAATTGCCCAAGTTTTACTCAAACTTCGGTGCCTCTTGCCTCAGCCTCTTTAGATTAGCTTAGATTAAAACTGCATTCCACCATGTCCTACAGAAAACTGCCTCTTATGAGAAGTTTCCCTCTATCTCTAAAATGTCTCTCTGTGTTTACTGCTTAAAAACAGAGAGTTAGGCAGTGATACAACTCTACAAAAGCTCTGCTAGAATGAATGAATGCCTAGTTGCAGCGCTGAGACCACTGTTACCTGACTTTCTGCAGCCACATCCCGCTCCAGGAAAATTCCTGCATTGATTGGTCTCAAGCTGAGTCGTACCCAACACTGCTTACATACATGAGAACAGAAACCAGGCTCTCACAGTGTACCCTGAAATTAAGAACAGATAATAAATTGGGGCTGGAGATATGGCTCAGAAAGAAGTGCACTTACATAAAGTTTGCAAAGCCCTTGTTTCAGTCACCAGCACTGGACTAGAAAGTAAGGGAGAGAGATAATAAATTCAATGTTTTTCACAGTTGGGTTTGTATTACTAATATTTGTTGTTTTGTTTTGTCAATAGTACATCTATAAATTAGTGACTGATCAAACTTTTAGGAGGAGTTTGTTACTGGGGAGATTTCTTCCCACATTGTTAACCTGTACTTCCATATCTTAATATTCTGGCACAACTTTTTTTCCTCAAAATGCTTGCTCTCCAATGATCATATTAATGTTTGAATTTGTAATGTTTGTTCTATGGAAACCTTATCCTATCATTTATCAGACTGTCATTAATTTGTTGACAGTTTTATAGCACACTGAACTGTGAACTTCTTGAAGGCAAGAGTTAATTCATTTTACTTTTATATATCCAGTGTCCCTGGAAGAAGTGGAAGGGGGCAGGTGGAGTTAACTCCTCATTCTTGTATTTACTATTTCAGAAGGTAACATGAATTCTAAGTTAGCAAACTAGGAAGCATCTTTGATTCCTAACTTGCCCTGAAGTCCTAAATTTCATCAGTGATGAAGTGTTATTTTTCTGGACCTGAAATATGTTGAATTTCTTCCTTTTCTTCATCTCTACAACTGCTATTCTGATTCTGTTTTTAATCCTCACTATCACTGCTGAATTACCTGTGTCCTGAACACCTTACTCTGTGCTCTTGAAAATAAAAACCTCATATTTATTTTAGTCAGCCTGCTCCTGGTTTTGGCATGTTGTTGCTATTTAGTAAAGTCTTAACCATAACAGTATTCTAGCCTGGGCAGTTGATTGAGCTGACTCTTAATCTTAACTCTAATCCATTTCTAAGACATATATTCATGTCTATCATTGTTACTCTGCTGCATGTATAATTCTCTGTATGACAAGTAATTAACTTTTCTTGCCTCATCTGTCACCCTGCTTCCTTTCCAATATCTCTATTATCCACTTACCATATCAGACTGTCATTAATTTGTTGGCAATTTTTTAGTGCACTGAACTGTGAACGTCTTGAAGGCAAGGGTTAATTCATTTTACTTTTATATATCCAGTGTTTATTGGTGCTTCATGCAGTAAACATTCTAACAGTTTAATGATTAGAATCTGTTTTGAAATTTATTCAAGTATTTAGAATGGTGCTATTTCAATCAATGGAATTGAAGTACAATGAAAAATTGAGATATTTTATACTTGTGAAAGGTATAGATCCAACTAGAAAATATGTATCCAACTGCAAAATATCAGGGAAATGATATTCTATCAGAACTAGTCTTAGCATTAGTTTTTCAGTTTTTTGCAAATGAAGTTTTAATGTTTAGATAATCATTAAATTTTATAGAGTACTTTAGATCTAGCTTTTATAACCTACAAATGAATGAACCACAAACCATGAAATCTGTCTTCCATCATCTGTATGGCAGTTATTCGGTTTTCCACGAACTCTTATCCTATTTCCATAAACCCGCATTAAGAATACTGTCTTAGC